TTTGTTATGATCCACACAGTCAAATGCCTTTGCATAATCAATGAAACACAGATAGACATTCTTCTGGTATTCTCTGCTTTCAGCCAAGATCCATCTGTGCGCTGTTGGCACAGATCTAAATGCCTAACTGCTGACCAAAAGGTTGGCAGTTTAAACCCACTTTAATGGAGAAACATCTGTATGAAAATTACAGCTTAGAAGACCCTAAGGGGTATCACACTGGTTTTTTTTGAGGAGCTTACTTTCTATTTTCCTCCTATATTGCCTTTATGTGTTCTTAAGAAATGGAATGCATAAAGGTCCTTATCAATTTTTTCTGCCTTCTTTTTTCTCTTTCCTCTTTGGCATATGAAAAGAGGTGGTAGTCACAAAGATGCATCTTTAGAGACCCAGGTGGTTGTTTGCTATTCTTCTTAGAAGTAAACATCCCATATTAATAGAAGCATACTATTTTGTACTGACAAGGAAAGCTTTCTAGTGTATACTGTTGAGAGAGAAGGGCTAGCTGCAAAATTTCCCTTAGAATATGATTCTTGATTTTAAAACATTTTTATGTAACAATGAGTGGATGAAAACCAAACCTTTCTGTAAACTTGCGTTAAAAATCATAATTTTTTTAAAAAAGGCTTTATGTTTAACTATCTATACAGTGTGCTGTGTGAAAGATCTGGAAATACATAAGGCAAAGTATTAAAACTTAAAGTAAATCTACAACCAAGAGAGAACAAAATAAATGAATGAGACCATCTAAGAAGCAAATCCCTGTGCACATAAAAACACTTCTCCAACAGGGTAATAAGGAAACTCACAGACTGGGAAAAAATATTTGGCAATGACATATCTGATAAGGGACTCATATCTAAAATTTATCGAATACTCCAGCATCGCAACAGGAAAAAGATGAACAACTCACTTGTAAAATGGACACAGGATATGAATAGACACTTCACCAAAGAAGACATTCAGATGGCCAACAAGCACATGAAGAAATGTTCAGAATCCCCAGCTATCAGAGAGATGCAAATAAAAACAACTGCGACACATCATCTCAACCCAGTAACAATAGCAAAGTTCAACAGGAAGCAGACAACATACTGGCAATGCTATGAATAGATTGGAACCCTTGTTCACTGTTGGTGGGAGTATAAAATGGTGCAGCCACTATGGAAGGCAGTCTGGCACTTTTCCAAAAAAGTTGGAAATAAAAATACCACTTGGTCCAGCAGTTTGACTCCTGGGAATTTAGCCTAAACAAACCAGAGCCATGACTCAAACAGGTGTTTGCACGCCCATGTTTGTTGCTGCATTATTCACAATAGCAATGAAATGGGAGGAACCCAAGTACACATCAACAAATGAATGGATAGAAAGACTATGGTACATCCACACAGTGGAATTCTACGCAGCATTGAAAAACAATGAAACATGACACAGCATGCAGGAGCCTAGAGGACAGTATGCTGAGTGAAATAACTCAGTCACAAAAGGTCAAAAATACTACATAACACTGTTATAAAACAGGACTGACATGATAGGGTTGAGGAAAACTAGGAAAAGAGTGAATAAATACTGCACTGGAACAGTTGAGGGAAAGAGCCATATAAAAGAATATGACTAGGTATTGTATATATGACAGTAGTCTGAAATAAGTGCATTGCAAAGTAGAATGGGAAAGGAGGAGGGAGCAAATGGTACAGCAGTGAATGACTTTTTAAAAAGGAAGCTGGGTTGGGGGAGGGAGGAAAATGTGCAACAATGAATAAGTGAAAATCCAACTTTGTAAAATTTTATTAAAATCACAGTTAAAATTTTCAAAACCAACTTAAGAGTACGAAGGATTGAACAAAAAAGAGTAGCTAATTATTAACTTTATGTACAACTCTGTTATTTGAGGTTTTCAGAGTGAATATCACGTTCATAAATTAAAATCTTGTCTTAGGCTGGATTTTGTAGGAGCAGATCAATGAAATCAAACACACAAAATTAAAATCTTATCATAGGCTGGGTTTTGAAGAGCAGACCAATGAAATTTATAATGTATTGACACAAAGAAAGGTTTATTTCAAGGAAATGACCCATGTAATTTTAGAGACAAGAGGCAGATCTGTACGTCAGACCTAAAGAGAAAGGTGGAGAGGCCAAGTCCAGGCATCAGCTGGCAGATAAGGTCTCAGGCTGTTGGTGTTGGGAGGACACTGGCGTCAGAAGCTGACATAGCCAAGGTTTTGGGTGGGACACAAGATCTCAGAAAGCTACCTGGCTTTGGAGGCTGACAAGCCCAAAGTCAAATATGTCAGGTCGCTGATTGAAATCTAGAGACAGAAGACTATTTGTATTTCCAGGTTGTATATATTTGCTTGTTGTTAGGATTTGTTTTTAGGGGTATAATAATTTATCTGTCAGTGTCTTGAATAGGAGAAGTTTTTTTGCATTTTGCTGCTCTTAAAAGTTTAATATATATGTATTGTTGTCTTTTCATCTGTCCTTTTGGGTACAGCATTTGTCTGTCAGATGCTGTACTAAAGCAGAGCTTCCAGATTAAGACAGACTAGGAAGAAGGATTGGACATCCATTTCTACAATAACAGACCTTGGAAAATTCTATGAACAGTAGAGCACACTTAGACTATTAGATCTAGCACTTACATACAGCATGAGAGGCTGAGCCCTCATGTCAGAAGACACCAAAAATGAAGAGCAACAGTTGCAGACATACACAAATAATTGAAATGCGTAATGTACAAAATATGCATATAGGAAAGTGGGACATTGTTAAAAAAGGAATGGAATGCATAAAGATTGACGCACTAGACATTAATAAGCTGAGATGGTTTGGCATTGGCCACTTTGAATCAGACAGTTGTATGATCTGTTGTGTCGGGAATGAAAAAGTGAAGGAAAATGGGGTTACATTCATAGATGAAAAGACCATTTCTAGATCCATCCTGATGTTCAGTGTTGCGAGTGACAAGATAATGTCCATATGCACACGAGAGAAGTTTGTTAATACCACTGTCACTCATCTATGCATATGCCCCAACAATAAAGCCAAAGAGGAGGAAATAGAAGATTTCTACCAACTTTTGCCTTCTGAAATTGATCAAAAATGCAACCAAGATTCATAGTAATTAGTAACTGGAATGCAAAATTAGGAGCAAGGAAGAAGGACCAGTAGTTGCAAACTATGAACTTGATAGCAGAAATGAGGCTGGAAAGAGAATGATAGAATTTTACAATGATTTATTCATTGCGAATACCTTTTCTAAAGAAAACACAATGGCAACTATAAATGTAGGCCTCACCAGATGGACTACACAGGAATCAGATTTACTATATCTGTGGAAAGAATTATTTGAGATCCTCAGTGTTGGATGTGAAAAACCAGGCTAGGTGCTGACTGTGGGACCGATCAACTACTCATGTGCAAGTTCAAAATGAAGCTAAAGAAAATTAAATCCGCAAGAACCAAAATATAACCCCGAGTCTAACCCACCTGAATTTAAAAACCATCTTAAAAACAGGTTTGAGGCATTGAACACTGCAAAGACAGGTTGAGCTCTGGGATCATATCAAGGATATCATCCATGAAAAAAGCAAAAGGTCATTACAAAGACAGAGGAGGCAGAAAAGACCAAAATGGATGTCAGAAGAGATTAAATATTGCATCAGAACTCCAAGAAGCAAAAACAAAGGAAAGAAATGAAGTTAAAGAGTTGAATAGCTTTCGAAGGGCAGCTGGGGAAGACAAAATGAAGTTTTACAACAAAATTT